CCTCGGAGAACTGGATAGTAATATTTAAATTCCTTTTTTTTCGGAATGAATTCAAAATGTCGGATTCAATTCTTCTCGATGAAGAGAACTAACTTTATGAGATGCTCAGATTCGAACTTTCTAATCTAAGACTCTTAACACCATTTCCAGTTTTCCAGCAATTATTTTCTCGTTGAGCAGGGAACTGGTTCGTTTTATTAGTGGTATTTGCTCACATCATAGTAGATGAATTTATTCGAATAAATTCCTTTGAAATGGTGTTTTAGTGCAATTAAATGCGATAGTAAAATACCTGGCGAATTGAGTTAAAAAACACGTTTGAATTGTATTAAAATATAATTTATGTTTTAACTTTCAGGTGACTATGTTTTACTTGATGGAAGGAAAGGTGTACTTCAAAGGTTGCCAAAACCACAAGAATAAAATCTAAAAAATATCTCTCAAGATTCTGAAAAATAGATGTAGCTGTATATTTGTATCTGTAAAGTATTCATACAAATCAATGAACTTGAACATTAAGAAAAATTGTCCTCATTTCGATAAAACGTCGGTTGTATTGCAAGGTGTCATTAGCTTCAAATAAAACATATACTTTTCGGTTGCATTCAATTTAGCTATAACCGTAATTTTGCTTATTTTATTTGATTTATGCATACACCAAAAAATAAATGGATTAAAAGCTAACAAAACCTAATTTTAAGGCTGTGATTGGCGAAACAGTGAAAAAATTTCCTTCTTCACATAAAATAAAAAAGAAAATATAATGCACTGTACATATACAATGCATTGGATTTTCAGAAGAGAGAAATTCTTCGTATTCAATGCTTTAAAAACATGCTCACGAAATATTTCAAAGCTTTTTTTTATTACTTTAAAAAGCATTTGAAAGATTTTTTTGGTAGCATAATTATACCTACTAATTAATTTTTTCTGAGAATTTGGGTTCCTCCAAGAATAATTCGAATGTTCAGGGCGTTGCTGAAAACAGATTGTAAAGCACTGATCTAGAGTCCCTAAGCCATTGTGTTACAATCAGCAACACACTGAATAAGACTCGCGTATTGAAATAAAACTCATTTTCATGAAACAATAGTTTCTTTACCGGATAAATAGCGCACAGATATTTTTGAATAACTGATGAAACTAGAGTTTTCTAGAACGTATCTAATTTTTTATTTCAATATTTTTGAATATTTCCTTCATAAACTTCAAAATTTCAATTTTTTTTATTTGAAAAACGTATAAGGTTTCTGTTTTGAACACTAAACACTATCATTTAAATTATTGAAAATCTGTAAAAAGTATGTGCTAAATACGTTGCAGTTTATTTTGGATGTGAATTGCAATCATATCCCAGCATTAATGAAGAATGAATACTCTACCAAAATTATTGTAAATTATTAGCTGATAATTAATTCCTTGAGTGTTAGCCCCAACTTTATTTAAAATTTTCAATTCAGGATTTCCTATATTATAAAAGAAAGGAGTTACTCCTGTGTAATTTAAAGAGGTAATAAGCACTAGCAAGGAAACATCTTTACAATTTTGTTAAAATGCTCATGTATATATTACAAAAATATATTGTACCATTATGAAAAGTTCAAAGTTTTCATTATTACAACTCATTCTTGATTAAAAAATATCTTTTTCACTCACTATTTATCAGTTTATTTCTGATTTTCCAGGGTGGTAATATTGAGTTTTAAATTGATAGAAAGCGGAAAGGAGTATTTCAAGTTTAAACTTTGATATGCTTCAAATTTTACAGCTTAATTTATAACGTATGTTTCTTTTTACAAATGAGGTTTTTTTTAAGTGTGACATATACATTTTATTAATAAGCAATCAGGCATTAAGCAAACAAATATTTATTGCTATGCATGATTTGTACATCGTATACTAAAAACAACACAAAAATATATATTAACATAATATTGATTGCCCATTTATTCTAAAATGAAGTATATAGCACCAATTATTTCATAGTTCGTTGCATTTTATTTATCTTTGCTGTTGCTGAATAAGAGGTCTGGAAACAATAGATCTTAAAACTCCAGCATCGGAAAACTCGTAAGGGAATTGTAATAAAAGCGACAATCATGGCAAATATGCTCCTAGATTTGCCCTTCCAAGACCGGAAGCAATATTTTCTGGAACGATGGCCAGTGGCGTATCTAGGGTATGGCAGGTATGGCGAGAGCCATGGGCGCATTATTTGAAAAAGGCGCAAAATCAACCAANATCGGAAAACTCGTAATGGAATTGTGATAAAAGCGACAATCATGGCAAATATGCTCCAAGATTTGCCCTTCCAAGACCGGAAGCAATATTTTCTGTAACGATGGCATCAGCTATGTTCTGTTGAGCGAGACCTCCTCCTCTCTTGGTTACTTCGGTTACTTTGTTTAATTCTCCACTAAGAGGATCTGAAACAATTGTTTCTTTACTTGAATGACCCCACCAAAGTCATCTACAGCTAGTTGAGTTTGACCACTTCCACGAGGATCTACCAAACATTGCACGCTTTGGCTGAAAGCAGCATCTGCAAGAGTTTCTTGGAGTGCAGTTTCGATTGGGTCTTGGGTGACTTGGGATATTTGTCTTGTTGTGACAGTTCCTGTAAATGGGTCTTCTTCTTGCACGATGGTGGTTTACGTAGCACCAATCCCAGCTAGTCCACCATTAGCAAGAACTCCAATTTTGCCCCCATAACCAACTGGTCTATATCCGGACAAATTATCAGACAAAATTGTTTTGCCAAGTCCTCTTCAGCCCGTGAAAAGGGAAGTAGGATAAGATTCATAATCCATACCTAAAAGTCCAAAAGGTACTTGAGATTGACCAACTCGGTAGAGTCCTCTGTTTCCAAAAAGACCATCTCCAACTGAAAGTTGAACTGAACTAGCTCCTGGTCCACCACCTTTAACTCCTCCAATTGGAGACACCTTTGAAACGACGACGGCAGCACCTGGAAGAGGGTCTTGTACTACAGCGGTATGATGTAAAGCTCCCCCACCACCTAAAATTAAAATCCAAATTGCAAAAACATAAATAGGCAGCAAAAATATGATTTGAAAAAAATAGGAATAAATGCAAAAGATCTTCGTCTATCACAAGGAATAAGCAATAGGTTTTAGAGTTTTTGCTAGTACAAAAAACATCTAATATAAGATCTACTATAATGAATATGATGAAATATCCACCATAATGAAACAAAAACTTGAACTAAATAACAAGGAAGGTTTTCGTCACGAGAACATTATAATTACAATTAATTGTAGGTTGTACACCTAAAACTAAAATAAATTAAAAGAGCGACAACTATAATATTCATAAAAAATTAACTTTAAGACGATAATTTTTTTTGTATTGGTCAAATATCAAGAATAACCGTCATTTCATTATTTTAAGGTCATATTCTTCATGGCCATTTTTTTCTCTAATAATTATGAAACTATTAATTAAAACTGATTAAAGCAATTTAAAACTTTACATTCTAACAGAAGGAGTTTTTAAATATTGCATACATATTTTTAAGGATGAAAATTTAAAATGAATTGACTTAAAACACTGTTATCAATCATAAGTAATAATTACCCAATTTCTTAATAAATTTGATGATTAAACTTCAAAATTAATTGCAAACTATAAATAAATAATTTAAGTACTTTAAACTGAAGAAAATGCTATGATTTAAAATTTTCAAGTGATTAGTAGGTTGTTATAAATTAATTATGTGATATATTTAACATTAAACATTGAATCTAAAGTATCTTTGTTACTGTTAATGATCAGGAGAATTTTTATATACTTCATATTTGTATTTATTTCTGACGCAATGCATTACAATATTTACCAATTGATACACGAACATAAATAAGTGTAAACCGGTTTCAGCAGAGTAGAAACAATAATATTGCATTCTATCACCTGATAATTAAAATTTTATATGTAATCTTGAAGTGCGTCTAATATGTTTTGGATAATACGTCGAATAATTTTGGACTAAGGAGGCTTCAGACATCCAGGTATTGGTAAATGGTAAGCAACATTACATAATTGAAATCAGGAACGAAAATTTAGGGTATAATCAGAAGTGGTTTTAATTTAGATAGGACTCTTTTTCCCTCAAATTTCAAGTATTTGTTTTTATTGTCCAGGTGGAGCGGGAAGTGCGTTAATCAATGTAAATGTTGGTTTATACAATGATTTTCTTTGCGACCAATTATTGCACAATGTCTAGGCAGGTTTATGTGGATTACACTGTATAATACTGCCAGACAAAAATATGACAGCTAATGATAAAAAAATTTAAAAATTTGTTGGACAATAGAAAATTATTTTAATTTACTGAAGATTGAGCCTTTTTCAATAATTTTGAAATAACTTTTTGAAATTCTTAGCGTTCTGCAAATTAAAAAGAGAAAATATGCAAATTGAGACTTTGTTACATTTTGCTGTAAAATAAAATATTTGTTCATAGCTGCTTTCATAAAATGGAGTCCATAGTTCATTATTACTTTGAAAAAGTTCTCATAGTTCTCATTGAAAGATAATCAGTGCTACAGTGATATCTAAAATTTTTTTTAAATTGTCATAAAACGTTTTATCATTGATGCCTGAAACGAATAAAAATAAGAAAAACTCAACAAAAACAGAGCTATCTAATCAGATATTATCTCCATATCGAGGTCTTTTCATTTTGTAAAAAAGTGTCAGAAAAATACGATAATCTTAAAGAAAAATAATCAAAGCAGTGCGAAGGAAAATGGCATAAGTAACATCTTTATAATCAACTACACTTTATACCAATTTCTTGAAATTAAATAAAATATTTTACGCTTTTTTGTTGTTAATCGCTTTAGTTTTTTAACATTTCACACAATTTAAATTTTAATTTTCTCTTTTTCAAAAAGAAAAAAAAATCTGATGCTCAACCATATTTAATTAAACTTGACATACACCATTTTCCTTTAAAGTGCTGAAATGTGTTTCAAGTTTGATAATCTGAGTTTATAAGAGTGTTTCAGTTGTCAGATCGGCTTCCGTCCCATAAGAACATCTTCATCATGCTCATTGCAATAATTGTATCCATTATCACTTTTCCTTTCGGTATGTAGAGTTATTTATATTTTCCGAATTTTAAATAAGTATTAATATTTATTACTAATTTATTGTTTAGCGCAGTGGTTTCCAAACTTTTTGTCTCGTAGACCCCTTGCCAAGTTTTTTGGTTTGGGTAAACCCCCTGCTTATCTGATATTGATTTTTTTGTAAATTCATCAACTTCAAATGTATTTTTGACAGCTGGTATAGTGCTACTCACAGTGAGAGATTTAAATTTTTAACTGTAGTGAAGTGCAGTGTGAAAAACTTAAGAAAAAAAAACGCATGTTAATTTTATACATTTAGTAATTAAATTCAAATTAAAACTAACCTAATTAAAATTCAGTATCTGTTTTATAAAATAACAAAGCAATAAATAAATGCTTTTAGTGGGAGGGATGGACCTGATGCTTTAATAATAAATTATCAACATTTGGCATCAATTTAGTTAGGTTTAATCTCATATCTCTTCGGTTAATGATGTCCAGTCTGTTTTTTTCTTCTTTTTTTCTCGTTAGGATATCGGCAACTGCGCTGAAATATCTTTCCACTAGTTATGAAGATGGAAAAGCAATTAAAAACTTTCTCGCAATATTCCATAGTACGGGATAAGTATATGTGCATTATGTGAAAGTTCAAATTTTATTGCGACCACAAATCGAATGCCTACAACTTTCACAATTTTATGAAACATACTAATTTATTTCAATTAATATGTGAATGGAATAAAATAGCGCGCTATAAAATCCCTACTCCGCTACTAATATTATAATTGCAGAAGTAAGTTTGTATACCAAACCGTAGTAGTAGTGTATTGTCGATCTGCATATCACATTTTCACGTAAAAACTAAGCAACACATCTCTGTTATCTTGTGCGCAGACTAAGTTGGAGGTGTAGCTAGCTAAAGAGTTAACGCAGGCTAGGCTACAATTTACGGCTGAAAAATACTTTTTTGTTACAAAATAAAACCTTCCTTACACGCAGAGAAAATAAAAACGTACGCGGGTGGAGCTGCAGGCAACTGCCAGTTTATAATAATTCAGCTTCATACATCAGAAAGTAATACTAATAACTTAAGTTTTAATAAAATTTTTACTTCATGGCTACTTTTATAAATTACGTAGAATGTAGATAGATATATTTCTTTATATTATAAGGTAGTATAACGTAAGTAAATAGGTACCTGCAACGTATGTTGATTATTCCATTCTTGAAATGCCAAAATTAAAGTCACGACCAACTTATATCAGATCCGCTATCGTTGACCCCCATTTTCATTTCATGGACCCCCAATTTTTTTTCACTACATGGACCCCCTGCAAGTTGCCGTTGACCCCTGTGGGTTGATATAAACCACTTTGGGAATCACTGTTTTAGCAGCTCTGTTCCATTTTACACTAGCTTGTCAAAAGTAACTGGACAAGCAATAGCACGGATTCGGTGACTCTTGAGGTATATATTAAAATGATATAAATCCCTTCTTTTAAACGATGACAACTTGTACCATACAAGGGAACGTTACTTTTAAAATGTAACAAGTAAAAGTACAAGTACTTTAAGCAAGAGTAATAAGCAATAAGTAAAAGGCTTTGAATTTAAAAACTAATGAGTAAAAAGTACAAGCACAAAACAAAAAAAGCAACTGCTTTAAGGTACATTTCAATTATATAGAAAATTCAAAGTAATCATAAATTTTATTAAAAGAATTTATGAAAAATTAATTTAAAATGCATTAAATTTTAATTTAAAGGTATAAAGCTCTTAAATGCAGAAAAATTTTACAATTTTCTTTTGAAAAACTTAAAATGGAAAGAAATCAAAATTCAATGTATGTGTATAAGAAGGAATTTTAAATTAAGCTTATTTTAAAACTATTTTATCTTTAGAAATTTCGTTTTTGCTTTCAGAATTTCTAGTCACAAAATTAATTTCATAATTACAACTAATAATTTGCTGTTATTTAAATTCGATATCGATTAAATTCGATAACATTGTAATTTTTGGTTAAAGAAATAAGTGAAAAATATATTGTTTTCACATACATTTAAAATCAATTAAAGAATGGGTTTCACGTTCCCTCCTACCAACCTCCCACTCCCTTTCGGGAAATCGCAATCCTTAAAGATGCTTGGAAAACCACGTTGACTGTTAAAGAATATATAGTACATTAAATTTATAAATTAAGAAAATAATAAATTTCAAAAATTACGAAAAATAAACTTTTTTGGAAAGGAAAATTATCACAATATTTCAGAAAAAAAGTAACGAATTCTTTCAACATTCTCATTACAAAAACTTTTTTCCCAAAAGCAAAGAGAATATAAATTAAAGCACTAATTTTAAAAATTAACGAAGTATAAGTAAAAGTATTTAATTTAAAAAGTAACAAAGTGCATGTAAAAGTACGTACTTTTTACTTCGTTACAAGTAACGAAAGTAAAATTATTGCCATGTATGGCCTGCACACGTCTGGGGAAACTTTCCAACATTTTTTGTTACGTGGCCACAGGAATGGACAACGAATCAATTTGTGATATAGCTAAGTAAACTGTTTATCGGTTATAAAGCCAAAGCATGAAGCGTCCTCATAAAGGCTTTTTTTTCGTTTTCTATATAAAAAAAAACAGGCTTAGAAGCATGTGAAGAGGTTTTTCTATTTCCCAAACATACACAAAACAGAGCTTGTTACGTAATAGAACCGATTGAAATTCCTTCCTTGCTCTGGTGATAAGAGGCAAACCTTAATAGCCTTTGCTTATAAGCTTTGCATAAACCTTAATAAGCTTTGCTTGGCACCTTGCTTATAAGAGTCAAACATAGTCAAACCAAAACAGTTAAGACACCTGATTCTTTTCCTTTGGGTATTAAATTCAAGGCTTTCATCATCGCTTAAGTGAGTAGAGAAGGGCACCTATCTTTAGAATAACCATTTTTTTCAGCGGTACAGAGGATAGAGGATCGCATCCTAATGTGGCGACCCCGGTTCGAAATTCAGTAAATTCAGAAAAGATAATTGTTCCTGGATCACACTGATCACAGTGCTGGCGCAAAATATCTCCTGTAGTTAGGTTGAAATTCCTTACCCCGTCAGGCTAGTCTAGGAAGGTTTCAGTGGTTTTTTCCATGTAACGGAAACTCAAATTTGTCCACTGAAAAGTCATCCATAAAGGCTAATTTCCCCAAATACTTGATCTAGGATTCCCGCGTCTTCTAGGTTGGGTTCGAAATTAATACGCTACAAACTAAGGTCGTGCAATTTTCACTGTGGGATTATTATACTGCAAGATAAATGGCCCTTTTCCGATATTTTACAAAACAATTGAGTTAGTATTGTCCAAAATGCCTACACACAGCAGAGTTTATGTTTTCAACCACGCAACTAAGAGTTTCAGACCAAACCATGAAAATCACCTTCTATACCTTGATTATTTAGGTGGATGCCGATCGGGTTCACTTTGACTAAATAATGTATTATTTTCTTAAATTAATCACATGAGATGATTATGTTTATTTTATGTTGTAATATGTTCTAAATATATTCAAAGAAAATCATGTTGCTTCTAATGCCATTTGCCAATGCCAAATTCAAGTCTAAGGGAGCTTTTCTTGATATTAAGTTGCGCTATCTATGACCAAGAATACGACCTCAGACACACACGTCACAGCCCGTTTACAGGACAGACCCTTTCATACATTCATCCAGTCATACACAGATCGTAATTTTGACCTGACTCAGAGAACGATCTATCTGCAATTCAGTATCCCTCCCCATGGAAATGATTTGTCAGAGAAGCATGGAGGACTCTGTGATCTGTCTTATTGAACGATCATTAACCAGTCACCATTTAACACACGAAGAGTTCTCAGCCGGAGGGTATCGAACTCATGACCTCTTGGGCATGGGCCCAAAACCCTACCGACCAGGCTATCCGGGTCCTAATGAAAATTATAAATTACTGTCAAAATAAAATTTATAAAATATTCATTTACATTGTAAATGTTACGGAGTATTTAATGTTTATTAACGTTATGACAGAGACATGTTATTATTTGAAGTATAGGGTAAAATGGTGTTAAGACGACAAGGTGAGGAAAAAAACGTTAAGTTAAGCGCAAGGGGTAATATCATAGTAAACCACATTTGAATACATTATTTCCATTGTTGTTCACAGAGAATTTAAAGTTATCTCAATAGGTAAATGAGTAAACATCGACCCGATGTTTTATAGCAGGTCATAAACAAGTGCCAAATGCAAACAAACCCATTTAATAAGGAACACATATAAGGAGACGAACAAAATCAAAAATACAGATAATAATCCGAGCTCTTCCCTTTCGGAATTCAGTAAGCCATCTGGCATGATCAAGGTTAATGTTGATCAAATCCAATCTATACATATACATATTTAGCTCCGTATGAAAGTGAGACAACTCTCCAAGACGATACCACATCATTGCCAGACTTTTAATGATATCATCTTTTAAGAGTGAAAAATCAGAGTTCAACACCATGATTTTAGTAAATCACCATGATTTAGTAAATATTATGTGTATAGCCTTGATATCAAGATGGAACTTCGGAAATTCTGAAAAGTGTCCATCTGGGAACAATAGTAAGGGTTAGCATGATGCAAAATTAAGATTTTTGGAAAAGTTGTGACCCATTACTGTTCTGGCTCAAGACAATTAAATGTATTGTTCAGGGTCGTAATTATATTGGTATTATCCTAAAATTGACCAATTATTCGAGCGAAGCTATATGAGAGAAACAAAGCAGTTTTGATCATTTTTTAAACGTGTGAATGAAAGATAGCTTTTTTTTCCGCACATGTGTTAAGGAATATATAAAACCTGACTATAAAAAGGAAAAGGAAAAAAATATATAAATAATTAAATTCAATTATTTTCTATAACGTAAAATCAAAGTTTATATGTCTTTCAAGCTGAGATCATAACCACGAAGCTAAAGAGGCAAAATGTAAAACTGGTAATTCATTGCTAATGGGAAATATTAATCAAATTTTACTTTTCGTATCATATTTTTCTGTTTACTTGTTTTTTTATTGAAAGTATTCACATGCATGAAAATAAAAATGATTAGTAATGATTTTTTATAATAGAAATCTACCGAAAATTTTGTAACAAACACCACAATGTTAACGATTAGGTCAGCACTGCACATTGGCCGCCTTTACTTCCCAGAAAAATTGGCACCAACCGATCTGGACCTGGATGGGCTTCAAACCGCTAGCGGGAGAAGAATCCAAGTCCTTACTGATCACTTAGATGTTCTCCCACTGTGCCATCAAATATTTGAAATGTTAGCAACTTTTGTGGCTTTAGAATAATTCATTCATTTCAATGTTGTCAAAATTATGATTCGAAATTTTTTAGTACTGAAGAAATATTAACACATTTACTCATTTATTTTTACTTCCACTACCACTATAAAAACTGTGGCAGAGTTGCCAACTTGATTACATGATATTTAAAAAAAAAAACAGCATATCTGCTAACTTTTTAGAACGCTGAACACGTCTGTGCTTTAACAAAATTGCTTATCGCATAAGCCATTGAGTTATTTAAAAGTAGTGGTAGTAAAACCCCAGTGAATCGTATTTTATAATCAAAAACCGTACATTAAATGTCTGCCCTTCGAAATTTTTTCCCGCTGTCCAGAGTAAGTGGGCATCTTCCAATCTGGCCGAGCTCTGTATAGCGCACTAAAAAGGCTCGAGGAGGTGACCTAAAATATGCTAATTACGTAGTGTAGACGATATTTTAAAATGCAAAACCGGAAACAAAAACTTACTTTCTCTAAATAAACATAACTTTTTTTCATCGGATTCAGATTTCTGACCCCCAAAATATAGGGGTAACAGCAATTTAGGAAATATGGTGCCAATAGTTTGGTCAGGAGAGCGCTCCCAAAAAATTTGACCCTTTAATGTTAATTTTACTTTTGACGTATTTAAAAAAATTTCGCACACAATTATAAAATTTCCTTATCCAAAGACAATTCCATGGAATAGTAAATATATGTTATTTTTTATTATTTCATTTAATGGTCGACAAAATTTTGAATTGTAAAGTACAAAATTTTTTAATCATTTAAAAAAAATACAATTTTGCATGATAAAATACATTAAAGTGTCTGAACTTTTAAGCACTCTCCTGATCAAAGTATTGGGGCCATATCTCCCAAATTGCGGCTACCTTTGGCAGTCAAAAGTACGAATCCGTTGAAAATAAGGTATGTTTATGAAAAGAAAGTACGTTTTTGTGTCTGATTTCGTAGCTTAAAATGTCCTCTGCTCTTATTAAATAGCATATTTGAGATCATCTCTTTGAACCATTTAGATTGAGTCCTAGAAAGCAAAGATTCGATCATTAAATCAAAAAAGTTATTCAGGGTAAATTTTTTTTTTAAAAAAAAACCCACTGCACAGCTATTAAACGTTTCATCTTCAGGTTACTCTCAATTTCTTCTTTTTTCTGAAGCCTATTGTGAATGACATTGACTAAAATGCCGATTTCCTTATCATATTCAATTAGAGAATACTTATTGTTGTTCACTTCGAGCGTAGACTAGTCCGAATTTTGTTACATAACGAAATTATTGAAATGAAAAGAAATTATGTATTATAGTCATGTTAATTACAGCACTAGTGTTTTTACTTTTCAAACTGTTTGGTACGTATCATTATTTATTTTATTTCATCATATTTAAAACTAAAATCATATACTAATATTTTTTAAACCTACCAATTCTCTTTTAAATTGTATAATAGCATGTAACGCTCTAGTTTACTGATGATAATTACCAATTATTTTTCCTCTGGTAATTTCCATTGTTCTTACAGTTGGTTAATGAAGGTAATTGCCCGTACTGCTAGTCCGATTTTTTTTAACTCTATTTTATGTTTTTTAGGAGTAATGTTAATTTAGCAGCAAAAAATTTTTAGAGTGGTATTTAAGGCAACGGAATTAGTGTAATTTAGCCAGTTAAAAAAATGGAAATTTTATGTTCAACAAACACGAAATTTTCATTTATTGAATACCAATTTAAATTTCAAATATTACAATAATTTACTTTCACGTGGAAATATATCTTAGTAATAAAGTATGGTGAATGCGTCTATTTTGTTACTCCAAGAAAAATTTCAAGAATGAAATAATTACGATATCAATCTTAATTCCTCCAAAATGTGTTAATTCTTCTGACTATTTTAATTTATATATTTATTAAATTAATTCAAAATAGTAGTGTGAAAAATTCTTTCAATTCTAATTTATAAAAATACCAAGACAGATGTGGATCATGAAATGAGACTAAATTAATTTCAACCAAACTCTGCTAATAAAACATTATGGTTTTTAAAAATTAAAAATATTACGTAGTTGAACAGGTCTTAAGCATTGAATATTTATAACTTAACTATTTAAAGCTTTTTGAGACTCTTTTTGTGACAAAATTGTATGAAACATGATGACATATTTGTCTGAAATCTAAATGAAAACAAACAATCAAACAAAGATTTAGTTTCATTTAGATTTGTCTGAAATCTAAATCAAACTAAATTAAAACATTTAAGTCAAAGAGGATATAGTAACAATATTCTATTTTATGTATCTGTTCTGTTCGATGTTCGTTATATCTATTCATTATTATCTATCTGATCCTTCACAGAAGTTCTTTACTGGATAAAATGGCTAATTGCATTCATCGCCGTCCTCAGGTATAATGCAAAACATCGTAAAAGATTTGATCTGTACGAACTTAACGCAATTGGTCAACCCGAAAAGGTGGGGTTTCTGGTTCCTAGAACAGAAGCTGAATTAGAATCACCTCAATCAGAAACCCATTTAAAAGAGGTAGGAATTATTTTAAATTGACCCCTTTGTGATTTTTCTATTAGAACATTTTATATCAGATCTACAAAAGATCATTTACAGGGGTTGGACAAAAATATGGAAACACTTCTATACTTGGCTTGATTTAAAAGAACATGCTTCAATTTTCACATGCAAACTTCAAAAAGAAAGTTAATAACCCTCAATTTTTAAATCATTCTAAGATGGCTATATTTATTTATTTAAGAATGCTTCTTTAATTATTGTATGTTATGTTTTTTCTAAACGAATTAATACCTCTTTCCCAATAATTGCTCTTTGCTTTTGAATGCATAAATATTTTTTTTTCTTTTTCATTACTGTTGGTGTTATATAAGTAATATTTTAAAAACCTGTTTAAAAGAACTATTATAAATAAAATAAAAGCGCGTTGTATCAGATTAGAGCCCCTGAATTAGTATAGTAGCCATATGTCAGATAAAGTATAAGTTCAGTGACGTAAACCACGCGCGCTACCACATTTCATTGAATTTATCAGACATAGCGAATATAAAATAATTAAATACGTGCAATAAAATAACTTTTTGTTCATATAGAGCTATAAGCTAACAATTATCGCTGATGCTATCTTTCAAATCTGTGTAAAATTGAATCGCTAAATTTAAAACAATGGCTAACGCTTAACCAACCAGAAAATTCCATTTCGTTTTTCACTCATCTCATTCGAACTGTTTGTCGTAGAATGTTCTAAGGTTGACTGTGACCTTTCTTGTGCTTGAAACTATCTGTATGGCAAATTTCACCGCTTTCTGTTGGATGGTTTAGTAGTAGAACACACACAAAGGCATTCATTTTTATATACCTGTATATAAAATAGATTAGATGAATATGTTGAGAATTATCGTCTGATTAATTTTTTACTTTGACCTAGTTTAGAAACTTAAGTTGCTATAGTAACGGTTTATTTTGCTTTTCTTGAGCTTATTCGTTCTTTTTTTGTGGAGAAGAAGCGAAATGGCTTTGAGTTTAAATTTAATTATTTTTAAGCATTAATATATTCACCCCATTTTATATCCTTAAATGTTTCGAGTTTTATTGATATAACTAGTATTTTACATATTTTGTAAATGGAATGTAAAAATAAATCATTTCCTGTGCTGTAAGTTGTTTTATGGAATAATCAAGAAAACTAACATACTTAACTAATTCTGATTCGAAATGAAAAACGGTATAGAATCGGTTAATGGCATTTCGTGTCTATAGACCTAGATCCAGCAATCATTGCTATATTTTCCCAACCGATTAGTAGTGAAATTAATGCAATATTCATATAATTTAATCACAAGAAGCTTATCACTATACTCATTAAGTCCCAATTCTCATTATTACAAAATATATGTTCTTTGGTTAACTTAATAGTTATTCCAACAATTTTTCTCTCTTTCTTTAAAAAGTCCTAATGATGTCCAGGATTCTTACATTTCCTTTGTTTTTAGTCTGCGGATGAAATATTTTTTTATGGAATAAATTCAAAGGCGGAATGTGTTTTGGTTCGTATATCAAGAGGCAGCGATCAAGAAGCCGAAGCTTGGATCTATTTGAAACTGGCTGATGGCACTACTTATCATTTGGCTGAACACGTCAACTACCAACAACCCTTTGAAGAAAAATGCCTGGTATTTTCTTGTGGGAACTTACAAATGCATTATTTGTCACCTATGCGAAGATGGAGAATACAATACAGTGGACCTCTATTGTGAGTATTTTTTAGAAATTCTCAAAAAGATTAACCCTTTCTTTGGCGACTGTTACAGGTAAAGTCACAGCCGGAAGCGTAATCTATCAGGTTAAAAATACAAAGATGGTAACCAAACAAATTCTGTAGCAGTTTATTTGTAGTCGGGGTCATAATAGTTAGATTTATTTCAAAATAAAAATTACATAGTTATATTTGAATGAACATTGATTAGAGTGAGAGCAAAACAAGTCTGTCGAATAAGCCATGCCAATATTTAAGCTAGCACTTTTTATTTTTTACCAACTTGATTCTGATTTTTTACGAATGCTTTTATGTATCAAAAAGACTGGTAGCATATATTTACACTCTATAGATATATACTGTAAACATTTTTGAAATTTTTTATAATTTCATTTTTATAAAAAGTGGGTGCAAATAAAATTTTTACACCGTATTGAGTCTGAGAATTTTTAAAGATAATTACAGGTATCTGCTGTAAGCAATTTGTAATACTTTCAGAAACACTAACGATTGTTTAACCCTTTGACGGTTATGAACGAGATCAGCTCGCAATCGAATCGTGCCTCATAATGCGCGCAAACGAGTTCCGCTCGGGAGCAAGGTTTTGACCGTAATAGTTAGTAACGAGCACTACTCGCGTAGTGAAATTTTTCCCCAATGCGCGCTGACGAGCTGTGCTCGTTCACCATTATTATTCTGCATTGACTATGTTAAAAACGAAAAGTACGTAAAAACTGCTATTTATATGTATTACGAATACTTTAAGAAATTTTTAAAACACGTGAGGCGAGCTATCTACCGCATTCAGAGATGCCAACTTGCTCCGTTTTGTAAAATAGTATTTCCTAGTGATGGTGAAAGTCAAGTTACTTTCAGTTTAGCCTTTTTCCTTTTAAGTAATTTTTTCACCACTAAATATCAAAAACTATAAGTAACATATAAAATGCACCGTTAAAGCAACAATCTACTGGTTACTCTATTAAAAAGTAGGCTTATAACTGTCCTTCTCCAACGAAATTTACTACATAATTTGGTACCACTTTATTATAACAATTCCAGAAGACGGAGCAGTTGGCATCGCCAGAGAAGGGTGACATTTTCGGAAGAACGGAGGTGGAAAACAGATGCCCCTTTCGACTACTGTTTGCACGTAATACTGTGCGAATTAATGAAACGAAAACGGCTCATTTCCCTGACCGTCAAAGGGTTAATAAAACAAAATTTGTGAAAACAAGAATCTTCACCCTATAGATATTGATTACGATCATTTTTAAAAACTAGCAAAGACATTAATGATGGTTTTAGAAAATGAAAGGATAGCGACGCATTACTACTATTGTGCGTCTCATATGATTGGTAATATCTTTTGAATATTGAGTAAAACAATGAAAACCGCGTTCTTACGGGAAAGCTACTTAATATTGACCATTAGTTCTCAAAGTATTATTAAGGAGTCCACAAACGCATACTAGTTTCTAACTACTACCAATTGCATATCTGCCAACTTTCACACTCGTCAAAAAAGTATTTTCTCAACATTAGAGAAATATTTATTGATATTGTAAGCAAATGCTTAATTCACTATTTACCATCACATAAAGTAAACAAATGCCCCCTATAGATATCATATGCAATCCTTTTTAACAAATATGAAAAACATTAATGATAGTTTTGCAAAACAGAACGGACTGTGAATCAATAATACTGATGTGCGTCTCATTTGACCAACAGTACCTTTTAAAAGTGGAGAAACCCAGAGAAAAAAGTGCTCTTACAAGGATGCTGCTTAATATTAGCTACTAATTTTTCTATTAGTTTTCAGAAGTTTACAAATGCATACTAGTTTACAATTACTACCAACTGTATACATGGCTACTTTTACTCTCGTCAAAAAAGTATTTTCCTGGTAGTAAAGAAATGATAATAGAAGTGATATCGTAAACAAATGCTTAATTCACATTTTACCATTTCATAAGAAATTAGATTAACAGCACGCCTTTTTTTTATTTAGGTTTAAACTATTTGAATATAATGGTAGCAGAAATCATAATAAATCAGATTTACTAAAACAGAAATCAAGCAGGAATGTAAAAATGTTGGTACCACATTAAATGTGCAAATAAAATCGTCCAGAAAATCCAGTTGGCAGGTATGCAATTTCAAAAATTTCCAGTTTTTATCTATATAGTAGTTGGTGTTGATCTCGATAAAAAAAAATTCATAATATGGGAAAAGTATTATTTTATCAAAAATGAGTCTAAATGTATGTATTTATAATTTTATTTACGGTTTACTATCACTGTAATGACTCTCGAAAGTGTTTGTATACTTAGGATTTTCAATAAAAATATTGCTTTATTCATTAATTAAAAACAATTCTAAAATATTCTTTAAACTTAATAGGAGCCCTAGAGCCCTATTTCATTGAAAGTATATGAGAACTTTTGGGGGCCTTTATATGCCCCCAAAACCTTTATATACCTTATTTTATATTGTTTCATAAATTTAAAATGATAATAATTTTCTTTTATCTTTTAATTATAGGCGAAAATCTGAAAATAAAGAGTTACCTGAAGGAAAGGTTTTTATTAAATTCGTTTTCTTGTAAGTTAATTTACTGTCATATTTTCTTCTTATTTTATGAGTCATTTATAGAGAAAATGGCGGGGGGAATGAAACAATATAACACTTGAAATAATGCTAAATTTTGATTTTATAATAAACATAATGCAAATGAAGCTTATTATTGTAATGTGCTCACAATAAACAGAAAATGATAACATTTAATAACATTTGATTAATTTATCGGACTTTACTTACTAAGATGCAATATTAATGATTTGCGAGATTAGCTTTAGGCTAAAAGATTTGAGTAGACAATATTTTAAGTTACGACACAACAACGTACTTTTTCTGAATAGACATAATTTGTTAAACGAATGCGAATTTTTGAGCATCAAAACATAGGGAGAAGCCGTGACAGAGAGAGAAAGAAAGAGAGAGCACAGTAAAACTCAAAAAAAAAAAGGAAAAAAGAAAAGAGTGAAAAACGAAGAAAATTAATAATTATAATAACTTAATAATAATAATAAATTAATAATATAAATATATATATACACTCATGGACAAAAAAATTAGCGCACCAAGAAGGATTCGTCGAAATGAAACAAAATTTTACATACGTTATGACTACTTTGATATAAGAAAATGATAATAAAATCAAAGAAAAAGGATAATTTATTTCAGAGAAAAAGGCAAAGGAACGGAAAAGTTAACACCTCGTTGGACCCCCTCTAGCACGAATGCACGATGCGATACTATCGGGCATTGAGGCATACAAATTCTGTATGATGTCTAGAGACATTTTATTCCATATTTGCTTTAACCTTGCCTCTAGTTCGTTCAAACTCGTGGGATGCTCAACTCGCAGTCCCAAATTATCCCAGATATGCTCGGTTGGAGACAAATCTGGGGATCGGGAAGCCCGAGGAAGGGTAGTAACGTACGGAGACAGTCTTGTGACACCCTTGCCGTATGAGGCCGAACATTGTCTTGTCGAAAAATGGCTCCTGGGAGCCGTTGCGAGAGTGGCAACACATGCGGTTGCAGGATTTCATGGCCATACTGCTGGGCTGTCATGGTGCCACGGATCAATACTAGGGGTGATAGTGCATTGTAGGCTATGGCACCCCATACCATCACACCAGCTGTGGGAGCGGTTTGTCGCTGTGCAGCAAAGGCGGGATTGAAGCGTTCACCACGGGGTCTCCACACACGAACACGTTTGTCATCACTGCTGAGATTGAATCTGGATTCGTCTCTAAAGACGACCTGGTTCCATTCCGCTGCAGTCCACTTTCCTCGCACGCGGCAAAACTACAAACGGAGGCTCCGATGGGTGGGCGCAATTATTTCTTGGTGCGCTAATGTTTTTGTCCATGAATGTATTTATAGAACAAATGAAATCAAAACTGTATGCATATTAGAGGTCATATATTAATATTTAGGAAGGAGTCAAGATGGCCTAGGGGATACAACGCTCACCTCCCAATGAGATGACCCGGGTTCAAATCCAGCGAAAGCTGGTTGACACGAATTCTTCAACCGGCTCTCATCAACTACAGTGTGACGTAAAAATATCCTCAGTGGTAGACGCCCCCTTGCCGTCAGGCTAAAAGTGGGAGGTTTTTGTGGTTTCCTTCTCCATCTAACGCAAATGAGGGTTAGTTTCATCAAAAAGTCCTCCACGAAGGCAAATTTCTCTCAGTAGTTGATCCAGGAGTTCCCTTGTCTTCTAGAGTGGGTTGGAAATTTCAAGGCTATGGCGTTGAACATTGGTATTGGTAAACAATAAATTGGGTCAGCTGTTCAACGGCTGTTCAAAATAAAAATATTTAGGAGGAGCAAAACAAAAAATGACATTAAGATCTGACGTATCCACTATTTAAAAAGGTGCGATTAAAACCAACAAATCATACTTGTTTGACCATGAAATGAAATGTTATTA